ATGGGTGGGCACCCTTGACGTACAGGGGATGTAGCACATACATACCCAGAGAGATTATCTCTTTATGCATTCAGAGTGGAGTCAAGGCTCTGTATCCATTCAGCCCTTGGGGCCCAAACCTATATAGTGGGACCATCCTCTCTTACAACCAGAGACAGAGTTCAGTGAATAAAAAAGTAGATCTTTCAGTCAACATCTTTATTATCTTTTAAAGCAACACCCTTCCTCTCTCCCCCCAGCAGTATGGCTGTCACAGTCACCTTAAATCCAACCTGGCTGATAGTCAAGAAAACAAATGGTAATCCAGCACATGGGGTTTTCTATTAGATTGGCATTCTAGTGGTTAACATCACTTTACTTGAAATAAAAAGGGACAGCAACTAGGTCTACAAGCACTGCCATGCTACACAGGTATCTCTACACTGCTGGAAGAACCTACATTTGCTTTGAGCTGGATTGCAACTCTTTAGAATCTTGAGGCTCCTTTTCCTCTGGTTTGGGTGCAGGAGGCTCTTGAGGGGGAAAGACAGTATGTGGAGAGTTAACCGTCTCACAGAGGTGTGCTAAATACAGGACTGTGAAGAGCTTCCTGACTAATCTTATATTTTGCTTTCCCAACAGTGATCTTAAACCTGGACTTTAATCAGGGGCATCAAGCAAGGAGATGGCTATGAGGACCCAAAAGCCTGGGGAATTCTTCTCCCAGTCCTACAACTTGTTGAGGGAGGTTGGGCAGGGACTTGTCCTCCTTTGGAAGTGGTACTGGATGGGAAGGCAAAGACAGCTTTGTCTCTCCCATTACTACAGATAGCTCAGTGCCAGTTACGTTTGCAAAGCATGAAAATGGAAGATCCTCTCTCTCTCTCTTACACACACAGACACTGTGAGCACTTGGGATCAGCCCCTAGAACTGCTTTGAGGAATCACAAACAGAACAGACAAGAGAAGGCTGAAGATATGCTGGAGCATTCTGAAAACAATACAGTCACTCCCAGCACTGAGAGAGCAGCAAGGTGACACCTTCTCTCCTGACTGGGTACATTCTGGTTGTCCCAAGCAGGAGGAGGAAAGTTGCTCCCCTTTAGGGAGCCTTTGATGATACAGAAGAAGCTATGTCACTCTGTTCACACATCTATATTAGGAGGGGTGTCCAACTGGAGAGAGCACTGGACAGGCACTCAGGAATCCTGGGTTTTGTGCCTAAATCTGCAACTGGACTTGCTCAAGAAAGCTGCTTTGCCTGCCTGTGGTTCAGTTAATTACACTGGCCTGCTCTGCACAATGCTTTGGGATCTGTGGGAAATAAAGATCCCAAGGAGTTTGGCATCAATATGATGGTATCATTCATAACTTTACCTTGTACGACAACATCCAGCTGCTGGACAGGTGGGACTTCAGGCTGCAGAGTGCACACACACAAAACACAATTAAAACCACCAGCAAAAATGGTAAAGACCATTTCGGTCTTCTCATGACAGAAATCAATGCATGAACACCAGACTCCTCGGCTGACTGATTCCACAGGTTGTGTGACCTACCTGCTGAAGGATATCCAAACTGGTCTCAAAGCTCCTCCCAAGGCTCTGCAGCCTTTCTGCTGGTTGAGGAACAAACTTTTCCAGCCCCTGAGACAGCCAGGAGAGGACAGTTCCTCCAGTGCTGCAAGAGAATGGAAGGGCTCAAATACACCAGGTGAGGTGAACCCCAGGGACCAAATCATCCCATAGGCTTCTCCTTGTGAAGGCTCCCTGTAACATTCCATCAGCAGAGTGAGGGCAGCAGAATCCTCTAGAAACATTGTGGTTCTTGTGAAACCTGGAGGAGACCAGGGTGAGCTCCACAGCTCCACCTGCCCCTTCTCAATTCCAGACAAACTACTCTACCACAGGCTCCTGACTGGGTATTTCCTGTTGCAGAGTGGGCTCCACAGTAAAATTAATGAAGTTCCAGACTTTCTTAGTCAGCTCCAGACAGCTCAGTGGGGAACAGCACATGAACCTTTGGCTCTGCCCTTAACCTACCCACTCGTTCCTCCAATCCTTGCACCCATATGAGCTCAGGAACCAATAGTAGGTATCCTATCGCCTAGGGAGGTGCCACAGAGGCAGCCAACTCCTTTCTGTATGTAAGCTAGAAACAAAGGACCCCTTTCCACAGGGATCTCCCCACCTACCACCACCACATCTGTCCACAGGCCTGTGTCTGAGATAGAGCCAGAATTCACATTGGTTTGAAGTCCCTTACCAGCTGGCATGTTAAATCCCAACTCCTAACTAGCAGGAAGGACACATGATAGACAAAAACCTTTCCACTGCAGATGCTGGTGGTGGTCCTGGGTCATGGGTCATGGCAGGTTCTACTTTCTTCTCTACTCCTAAATGAAAGTAAAGCAAGGTCATGTGTAAGAAGGACCCACCATAACACTGATCTAAGTAACCATGTGTCATTTATCCAGGTCAACCTGGCAGTTACCTCCAAGAAAAGCATTTTAAAATACCCTGTTCAGATCTGCCACTCTTCTGTTTCTCTTTGTGTGGAGAGATGCCAGTTCAACCAGGTAGCACCAGTGATTGTGTACAACATGCTCTGATGGCAACTGGAGAGCTCTATTCTTGCATATGGATGTTAGCACAGGCTCCTCAGGATATACCTGCATTGCTTCCCCAGTGCCCCCAGGGGCACACCTCACCCACACACTCCCACTCCCAAACACGAGTAGCCAACTGCTGACTCCAGGGTCCTTTCCACTTTGGCTGACTGGCTAAGCTATGGATACTCCCACCAACTCTCACAGTATCATGTGTGGTAGTTACATTCTGCATGGATGCTATTAACAGGGACTCACCTTCTGTGCCTTTGCTTTTGGGAGGTTCTGCTGCTTTGGTGGCTCTTTTTGGTGGCTTTAAAGGTCAAAACACAGAAGAGACAGCTTGAAGTGAAAAGTCACATATTGTAATGTCCTTATCTTTGCTACTGATGACACCACCTGAGCTGACCCAAACTGAAAGTATTTTTAAAATCCAGAGATCTTTCTGCCTTCTCTGCTCCTTTTCTACTGTTCATTCAGGTTAGACCAGGCAGGTCATTGCCACTCAGTTTCTCTTTAAGCCTGTGCCCTGCAATTGGTAGCTTCCAGGTACTGAAGACAACCAATACAAGCACCCATCCACGTGTCTCCAGCTACAAGGTCATGTCCTGGTTTCAGTCAGTTTCACTTCCTGGATCACAAGTTCTCACACCCAGGTGTTCAAGTGCTCACACCAAAGTAGTCACATTTCAAAGCAGCCAGAAAATTTGTTCATGAAAGAAAGAGAATGAAGGTGATAGCACAACTGCACATTATGTCACTGGCACAGACTACAAAGGCCTCACTAGCACCATTTGCAAAAGTAGCTCACTCCTAACCAGCAGTCCCTCTACTAATCTCTCTCTTAGCCAGTCTCCAGAGTCTCCCTGACATCTGTTCAACCAAGAATTGCAGTTGACTTAGTTTGATCAGTATCAAATGGTCAAACGAGCTAGTGTATATGCATCACACACTTAATGTCCTCACTCATCCCAGACTCAGTGATCAAGGCAGTGGTCAGCCCATCTCCTGGGGCTGCTCCCTCCCTACTCACCTGCTCCACCTTTGCAGACTGGGGTTCCACAATCACTACCTTGGGTTCCTCTTTTTTTTCATCCTTTTCTCCTGGGACATGGGCAGTCTCAGGAGGCTGAGGCACAACCTTCTCGAGCCAGCTAAGCATGCTGTCACCTGCTAAAGGTAAAGTTACATCAGTGCTTCTTCCCAGAAACATGCATCAGTAAAACCACAAAGACCCCACGACAGCTAGCAAAACACCACCTAGCTCTGAATCTCCATTATGTCAACTGATAAGAACTCCATCCCCAAGGTATCTGGATGCTTCTGGAGGAAGAGCAGCTTATGGACATGGAACCCAGAGAAGACTGAAGTAATCCTGCTGGGAAGCAACTTGTCAGCTCATAATCATCCCTTCCAACAAAGGAGTCTGCCCCCAGATTGTGGAATCAGGCAGAAACTAGCAACCCTTCCAGGCTATGTTCTGTATTTGGACACTGGGGGAAATATGGGGAATTTCTTAATAACTTGCATGAAAAAAGTGTCTTCTTTTCCCTACCCACTTTTGTATTGTAAGATACCAGGACCCAAAGGGTGGATTTCTTTTCTGGGACACCAGAACAGGAGGTGGGTATCAGCTATACAGTTCATCCACACCAACCCAGGTTTCCCTATCAAAGACTACTCACAGAAACACACGGAAAGACAATGGCAGCCAAGGAGACAAATAATAGAAGAGAAAGGACATGGGGATAACAACTCTCTGCTGAACAGTGCAGGGGGGAAGAGGGAGTTCTGGATGTTTGGGGCCTTGGAAGCAGATCATGCTGCCAGCAGGTACAGGCACCAAAATCTAGCTCTTCTATCCAAACTTCTAAGGGCCCTGAACTACTGTGGGCCCAAGAACCAGTTAAAGCTGACTCATTTTGAAAGCCTTTCCTGTGTTGCTGCAGAACATCTGCTGGATGCAGATCTCCCCCAGGGAGACAAGTTTTTAACAGGAGCCTGAGTTTTTCTGGACATACTGAAAATGGCCATGATAAGAAACATCAGTGCTGACCCAGGGTTCAGTCTTGGAGCGGTAAAACTGCAAGGCTCCCCCTTGCAAAGGGAGTCACAGAGTTCATCCAACCCACCCCAGGCTTCCCTATCAATGTCCATCAGCACATGGAGATGGTAGAGCAATGATAGTCAAACAGTGTAACTAAAGCTTGAGGCAAAGAATGGCAAAAGCCTAGCAGTAAAGGCTGCCCTCTCTGAGGCACTAGATAAAAAGGCAAGATGCCACTAGGCATCTTGTGGACCTGTGGGTACCCACTGCATAATGCAGTGTTATGCAGAAACCTACAAGACTCTGAACAAGCAGCCAAGAAACAGGTGAATTAGCCTGAGGTGAATTAGCTGTGTAGATACACCCCAAGACACCTAAGAAATGCTCACCAACTGCAGCCAGCTAAATGCATCCACCTCATCTAATCAAATCAAATGCAGGCCTGGCTTTATCTCAATTAGACTGTTGGATTTCTTCCTGGATGAAGGAAGCCCCGAGAAAGCTCCAGCTTGGTTCACAATGGAGCAGCAAAATTGCTCAGCAGCACTGGTCAACCTGAGCATGACAACCTGATCTGCAATTCTCTGCACTGGCTTCCCATTGCACACAGAGTCCAGTTAAAGGTCACTATCTTGATTGTCATAGCCAGGCACAGCATCAGTCCTGGCTACCAAAAAGATGGACTTACTCTCTGCAACAATGACCTTCCTGAAACTGTTGACCAATGGATGTAGGGTCATGAATACAGGAGACAGAATTTTTCTAGGAGCTAGACCAAAGGTAAGTTATGAACTGCTGGAAGATATCAGAATGAGCACTATAATCATCAGAGTCACATTCAGAGTTGTGTACAACTGCCTTCTCTTTATCCAGCCTTTCCATAAGAGCATGCTTATTCTCAGATTTATTCATAAATAGCATCCAACCACCAACGTGGTGGTGAATGGAGAAGAGAATGAAGCACATACTAATATCTTTATGGCCTGGGAGGTTCTGTGGTGACGTTGGGCGGGTAGATGGATGGATGAATAAATGGATGACTCAACTGCTTGGCCCCGTTCTTTTATGAATGGAAGCCATTAATGGAACATCTAATAGAGAAAGTTTATAAAAAGAATAACCTGAACTGGAAGGGACTTGAAGTAAGTCATCTTATCCTTTCCTTGGCCTTCAGGGGGGTTAGAATTTATCTACTCAGGGATACCAGAAAGTGCCTAGTCTTAGCCTTCGTGGCAAGGTGGGGCTCCCCAACTGGCCACAGTGCTAGTTTCCCCACTTGCCTTTAGGCACGCCACCTAACTGTCTCACCCACCATGCCTTGTTGATAATTAAGATATTAATTACGGCGGGAGGCTGCCCATTCTTACCCCGATGGCAGGGGGCACTATCTGCAGCTCTGTTCCTCCCCTACACCGCAGCCCAAGCCTCACAGATGGCATCCAGATGACAGTTCTCCTGGCTTACCGCTGCACTGAGCTTAGGCCTCATTGTCAGGCCTCAGACACACACACATTCATACCGCCCTCCTCTCACTAGGGCCTCTCACACTCCAACCTCTCTTTGTCTCTTTCATGCGTCAACAACTTATACTGCCTTGCTCCCTGTTGGAGCAGGCCCCTTAGGCCTTAGGCTTTATCCAGTTTATACCTTGGGTGGCAGACGGGTTGCAGGAGAGGTCTTTTGGGCCTCTCCCGCAACCCTCACCAGGGTAGTGGCCAGTCAATTACCCAAACGGGTCTAAGCTTGCTCTGGCCCCTTCTGGGGGTAACTCTATACATGTAAAACATACTGGGCTCTCAGCTCTCTGGTTCTTCTTCCCCACTGGGGTTCCTCATCTCTGCCCCCTTTCTTGGGCTACCCCTCACCAGGGCATTCTTATCCCACACCATGACTGGTGCTCCAGGGTCTCATGGGGACTCTCACTCCCCCACTGGAGCAGCACGTCATTGTGCTCTAGTATAGGTCTTACTTTCGACCCACACTCGGCCTCCCAGCAGTGGAGGGCTTACCGGGGTCAGAACTCACCCCCATCTCTTGGATTGAGCCCCCTTACTCAGCCTCCGGCCCAAACTACAGCTTCAGGCGTCCGGAGACATACCTAGGCCTACTCCCCTTCACTCGGGGCTCCACACTGCCCCCTTCACTTGGGGCCACGGGGCTTCTCTCCCCGGTGGGCTCAGGTGGCCGCAGCCATGCCTGGCCCCCACTCTGCCTCCTCGGGTTCTTGCACCCCACAGGGCTCAGGTGGCCGCAGCCATGCCTGGCCCCAACTCCCTCTGATGCTATGTAACCCACCCGAACGTGAGGGCTGGGGTTAAGGCACCCCGACCCGCCTCTCACCGGAGTGGTAACTGGCCTGGCATTACCGGGGGGCTCCCACGCCACTGAGAGCCCCACCAGATCACCCACTCCCAGCAAGGTGCAGTTTTAGGTCACGCTCAGGAGCCTCCTAGCCATCCCCTACAGCTCCTGCCCTTCTCTCCAGGAGATGTTACTGCCTAGGCTGCCAGCAATGAAGTGCCCTGTTTATATAGGCAGCCAGAGATCTAAAATGGGCACCGCAATCAAGCACCTGCTGGCTGCTTGGCTCTGCTCTTAAAGTGGCAGGCACCCACAGTGTTTTGCCATACACCTTCTCCCTTAAAATAGTTCCTGAGAGAGGTTTCCCCTGCTGCTCCTCCAAAGTAGGCTCCCCTCAGCTCCTGTGAGAGCCCTCAAGTGGCGAGCACCCCAAAGGTGCTCCGCCACAACCTTGAATACTGTATCATCTACATTGACAATTATTCCAAAGCATCCTCTGGGAACGTTTTCAATTACTAACGTTTAACATATATTTTCCTGAGTGCAAGTTATAGTAATAATTTTGGTACCCAATAAAGTGGATAAATATATCGCTGTGTGATACATGACACCTCTCAATTTAACAAAACATAACATTTACCTTTTATTTTAACATTATATTGTTCATTCATACTTTGTGCGCTGTGCCATATAATGGTTAACTTATTGTAGGCCTGTACCCAGCTCTCTTTCTATATCTGACTGTACACTGGAGCATTTCTTGCTGTATGAATTCTTTTCCATTTCTCCTCAAAGAATGTTGCATTATTGATTTTTGCCTGGTTGTTCAGGTCACCAAGATTGTAGGGTGTTTAAATCCTCTCCTCTCAATTACTGGCAATCCCTTTGTAGCATCACCAGATATGTTTTGTGCCTTTCCCAACCACCATCTTGTTAATGAAGACATTGAATAATATTAAATCCCAAACAGACTTCCATAAGATTCTATTCAAGACCAAATTATTAACAATTAGTTTGGACCATATCACACCATCTGTTTTTAAAAAGAACTCTCAGTTAAACTGGTGGACTCCACCAGGGTACAAGACAACAGGAACTTGGGTTATTTGGAGCTTCTTAATCCACACATGCTCACTGGGAGCCAAAGGACAACTTGATCCTATGTTAATGTACAGCCACAATCCTCTATACCTTGCAGGTTATAAACTTCTCCTGCTCCATGGAAACAGCTCAGCATTTGGAATTCCACCTTAGCAAAGCAGCAGTTTGCATAATTACAAAATTTTTGAACCAAGAGAAACCTCTTAAAACATAGATATGTAAAGCCCAGTACCAAATCCATATTTAGGCACACAATTAGCCAATTAATGAGTTAGGCACAGCAATTACTAGTGGTATAAATGTTTTCTGGCTGTACAAATATACGTTCAGTGGCACACCAAATTTGCATGAGCAATTCTCATGGATGACCAAGAGTGCAGGTGGCAATTAGCTACGTATTCAGCAGACAGGCTACTTCATTATTAGTTACAAGATGGCTGTGGGCTCAGTGTGATACAAAATATGGAGAATAGGGGGAGAGCCACAGATTCTTCTCTCTTCAAAGAACTCCTGAGTCTAAAAAGACAATGATGTTAGACAAAAGCATCCTGGGAGGTCTGAAGAACCAAAATGTTCTCTTGGAGGAACCTCTGGGTAAATGGGGTGATAGAAAGAACAGGTGATGGGTTTATACGTGTGATAGCAGCTTAACCCTCTGGCTTTGAAACAGTCACATCACATACCAGTAGCAAAGCCAAGAGAAAGTTATGCAGTTCATCCCATC